ACGACATCAATTTATGTTGCCCTTTTTTGCATATTAAAATCTAACACTCATTAAAACGCTATTATCAATATTTAAAAAAAAATTGATATTTTTAACTAAAACACCGTCGATAAATTAAATCCTGAAAAAGGCATTATAATATGTTTGGAAAATAATGTCCGATTTTAGAATAATCTTTTTAATTGTCTTCTAATATATTATTATACTAGTTACACAGAAATATATTAGTAATTGCTATATATTTAATCGTCCGGGGTATGAAGATAAAGTACACCCATCAGCATGGTCTATGATCAGAAGGTTTTGACAAGCTTCGAACAACTTCTTAATGAGTGTTGTTCCAAGGTCCCTCCTGACTTGATGTGGTAGCACCACTTAGAGTCTTAGGTATGAGTAAATAGGTAACCCCACCCCAAACTGAGGTTAAAATCCTATGAAAGTATAAAAATAGTTGTTTTTTTATAGTAAAAATACCAGCAATACATTTTTGAAAAATTATTACCAGCAATATATTTTTGAACAAAAAAGAAGAGTTTCATAGTATAAATACCAGCAATGGATTTTTGAGAAAAAATATTACCAGCAATATATTTGACTCCCCAAAAAAACCCTCTTTGCAAAAATACGTCAATGAAGCCTAATCTTCAAACTGATTTCTTACAAATAATACATTCTATTCATACGAAATTATACCTAAAATCTTGTCGGCATTAAATAACCCACCCCGTAAAACAAAATACACCAAACTAACCTAATATTAATGAGTAAAGTGTGCTATATCAATCTCTTTTTGAATTTTGCTCTCAAATATGTGACGCCCTTTTGAATATACACTAGAAAATAGAATTAGGTTGCTCGGATAATAATATCCGATTTTAGTATAAACTTTTAATTGTGTAACATATTATTATAATAGTTACACAAAAATGTATTATTCATTCGTAATGATTAAAGTGTCCTCTTTGAAAAACTTATATCAATCTTTTTCAGAAATTAACATAGAACATTATATATGCCTTATCTTGAACATGAAAAAAGGAGAAACATTTTTTTACTTATTTTGCATTAGTTAAAGTTTTGTCATAATACGACTCAAACTGCTGCCAACATTAGCAAATAATGGGGATAGGGAAGTGGGTACTTTATGACAATCTTAAACAATGGGTGTAATGTCTTGATCATGACGAATAACCCTTAACCGAAATAGCAACAGCAGGAGATTTTGGTGACAGTCTAGTGGTCCACTGTTGGAATTATCCATTATATCTTTTGATGTAACCTAGGGAAGGTTACAGAATAGAATAATCAAACAAAGGTTGGTAATGAACAATAATACTTAGGGCAAGAACAGAACATATAAGATTCGCCAGCGGCGCGTAGAAGAGGTAGTCAACTTCTAGAAGTGAGTCAATTGAATTCCACAATGAATCTCCAACTGCAGGATATCTAAAAAACGCCCCACGCGGTCAGATGTGGCACAAGGCCGAATTTAATGTGGGGTATTCGTACCCGTAGGCTCGGCCAAGAAATCACCGGAGACCCCATATAAAACGGGTTCAGGTACCTGTTTACCGAGACAGACCCTGCTCTTCATCAGATCCTCGTCTGGGTATCCACTCTGCCTCTAGGCAGAGAGTTTGACAAGCACAGCTGAAGAGGAATCTCCAACAAACAGCATTTACTACTGTATTTATGTGAATGGGGACATACCCATTATCGTCCATAAGTATGCTACAACAGCCACGGTAGCAAATGCTGATTCAGTTAAGTAAAATATAACCGGCATTTGGTAATCGATGAGGTCTAATTCTTCATGATAACAATGTTCTCTCATGTTGGTAGGTTTATATTGCAGAAGATCACCAACTGGAAATGCAGGACTTATCTACAGCCCACACGTTCTGGGTATGACGATAAACTATATCCAACAGCAAGACCTCTGATCAGGAGGTTTTGAGGAGCGTGGAACCACCTCTTAATTGATGGCATTCCCAGGTCTACCCTCACTAAGAGTGGCAGCACCTGTTAGGACCCCAGCTATAGGCAAATAGTTAACTACCAAACTGGGGTCAAAACGTGTAAAAATAGGCTCTAATAACAGCAATTTGTAAAAAAAACTATTACCAGCAATACATTTTCGAAGAAAAACTAATTACCAGAAATATATTATAACCAGCAATACTTTTTGGGAAAAAAATATTACCAACAATAAATTTTTGGAAAAGGAAATATGCCAGTAATAGTTGATATGCCGTAAAACAAAAGAAACCAAACCACATCCCACTTGGTCACCATATTTCTCGCCAATGTACTAACACTTTTTTTTAAAACATGTCGACAATTCTTCAAGCCAAAAGAATTCTGTTGCAAAGATGCAGAAACTGCATTCAATTATTTATTGGCTTCTAAACTTTTAGAGTTTTATAGTAAATACCCATCTCACCTTGTAACTTCAGTATACAGATTCAGGTCTCTTATTTTGACTAATTTAAATACTGTTAAATTACATTAATTCAAGGATAAATGTTGATTTTAAAATCGGACATTATTTTTCGGACAACGTAATAACAAAGCTTGATTAATACCAACTATACTTCTTATTAGTATAAAAGTTATTTTAATAGAAACACGTATAAGAAATTTTGTCATTTTCAACGTTAAAATTAATGCCTATGGGCTGAGAAGTCGAGAAATCCTTACAAAAAAACAAAATTCTTGCGAGGAATTAAAGCTGTAATCCTTATACCTATCAGGGAAACAAAACGCCTTTAGCTGAAATGTGCCCGATATAGGAATTGGAGACTGGAAACAAATGGTACCTATTTTATTTCTTAAATGCTTTATATTTTTTGTATTTTTTAATTAGTTATTAATTCTTTCTATTAACACAAAATATGTCGGATTGTTAAATAATACATTATTTACATTATTGGGACAATTGTCCTCATCTTTGTCGCCATATTTATTACAACGTTTTGGCCTGAGCGTACAACGGCCGAAACGTTGTAATAAATATGGCGACAAAGATGAGGAAAATAGTCCGAATTAGGTAAATAATGTACATTAGGCCTCATCTCAGAAATATAGACAAATACTGTTAAATAATAGTTTAGCATACTATTATTTTAGAAGGAAGTGTATCCCTTCTCGGACTTCCTGAAGTTTACCTTAGGGATTAGATAGAAGACAAAACAAGCAAGCCGATTTTGATTGGCTAACGAGCGTGAAAACCTATAGATAAAGAAAAGGTTTTCAGGGATTCGAATCTTAACCGTCAAACAATGTAACGTGTTGAATTTCGTGTCTGGAAACTGCTCCCAATTGGAAGGAGAGAGCGACCCCACTGGCTGGTGAGAAGACATATATGTCGACGTCAATAAACTCGTTAAGTTAAAATTTCCTGTGTTGAAGTTCTTTTATCTCCGAACCAAAACACTTAGCGATCACCGACTGAAAGAGGAGAATGCAAATTTATTATGAAATTAAAGCCGTCAATCCAAGACCACCCACACCAAGGGTCTAAGCAAGAGGATTAAAAAATATCATTGAAACGAATTCTACTGTTTAAACCTTTATTTGTATATATATGACATAGTTCAGATAGATAGATAGATAGATAGATAGATAGATAGATAGATAGATAGATATGAACACAAATAGATTCGTACATATGAACGAGGATGGATAGATATGAACATACATACATACATACATACATATATAGGGAGGGGCACCTCAGGTGGTGTAATGGTTAGCAAGCTTGTCTGGCTATAACATTTACGACTGAGTAGTGAGTTCGATCATTACTGGGTACCCCATACTTTCGGCCTTGTGTCACATCTAAGCTACGCTTGAAAAATCACTAGATAGATATCTAGAAAGATAGATAGATATAAATATAATCGCAAATAGACAGATTCATACATATAAACACAGATAGATAAATATGAACAGATAGACATGAACACATAGATATGAACACAAATAGATACATTTAAACATATGAATGCAGATAGATATGAGCACAGATAGATAGATATGAACACATAGATAGATAGATAGATAGATAGATAGATAGATAGATAGATAGATATGTACATATGACGACAGATATATATGAATACAGAGTGATATGAACACATAAATTAAAAATAATTTAATCGAATTTTACTGTTTAAACATTTACTTGTATATCTAATCAGACATAATTCAGATAGATAGATAGATAGATAGATAGATAGATAGATAGATAGATATGATCGCAAATAGACAGATTCATACATATAAACACAGATAAATATGAACAGATAGACATGAACACACATAGATACATTTAAACATATGAACGCAGATAGATATGAGCATAGATAGATAGATAGATAGATACATATAGATAGATAGATAGATAGATAGATAGATAGATAGATAGATAGATAGATAGATATGAACACAAATAGATAGATACATACATAAGACAGATAGATATGAACATATAAATAGATAGATTGAATGAATATAAATAAATGTTATTAAAACAGTGCCAAAAACGAAAACCTTGGTCTTTTCCGTATAACAGAAAAGGAAAAGACAGTATGAAGTAAATTTATTATTTTACAAGCACAATATTTTGAAAGTCGAATGCTTAGATTTTTCTTCACTCAAACTGTCAATTAATGACAAAAGGCAAATCGAAATGAAGCCGAAACAGACGCCAGAGAGAAAATGATGTAACGAAGAAAATCACGTCATTCTCACTAATTGGTCACATACGGAACTGGCAATTCACTTTTTCCCTACCAGTGTCATGTGTTGAACGTCATAATCTCCATCGATTTGGGAATTTCTATCATTTCTCTTTGAATTTCCTGTTCCTTTCGATGTTGGGAACTCATCACTTTCATAATTTGCTTATTTTTCCTTTAGTTCTTCCTGCTGTTTGCTTAGTTTATTCTTTCTTGTTCTTGAGCTAATTAACATCCTTTTTCGTTCTAACTGCGTGCATGTCTTTCGATATTCCTTTTCCTTCTTTCTTTTTTTCTTCCCAATTATATTTTTTTCTGCAGCCCTTCTCTCCTTCTTTCTTGCTTCTTCATTTGGTTATTTCCATTTTACTCTCAAATATTTATTCCTTCCTTCTTTTGTTGCTAATTTCTACGATCTTTCTTTCTTTCTTTCTTTCTTTCTTTCTTTCTTTCTTTCTTAACTATTTCTTTCTTATTGCTTCCTTATTTCCGCTCATCTTTCTCTCTTTCGTCTCTTTCTTCTTTCATTCATTTAGTCATTCTTTCTTTCCTTTGTCTTTTCAATATGTTATTTCAACCTTCCATGATAGATTTCTTTCTTTTTTTCATTCTTATATTCTTCTTTCCTTCCATTTTGTATTTGTTCATTATTTCGTATCGGCCTTTCTTTTTTTATTTTCTTTTTCTACTTTCCTTCCTTTATTTTTCTGTTCTTCATTAATTTCTTCTTTCATTATTTCCTTACTCCACTACATCTTTTCTCCCTTCTTTTTATCATACCTCCCTCCTGCTATTCATCTTCATTTCTCTCATCTTTTATCCCAACCTTCACACAGTCTGTCCTCCTTTCCTTCGCATTTTTCTTTCTTTTCTTTCTTTCTTTCTTTCTTTCTTTCTTTCTTTCTTTCTTTCTTTCTTTCTTTCTTTCTTTCCACCCATATTTTCTCCATTCATTCTCTCTTTCCTTCTTTCTACTTCTCATCCCTTTATCCTTCTATCCTTTCATCCTCTCTTCCTCCCAGTTTTCCTTCGTTCTTTGCTTTGCCCATTCTTTCTTTCCTCCCATTTTCTTCCTTACGCTTTTCTTTCCTCTTTTTCTCGCTTTTTGTCCTTCCTTCTCTTTTTCTTTCTCCCCTTTTTTTCCTTATATTCTTCATCCTTTACTTTGCCTAATCCTTTCCTAATCACTTAGTTTACTACTTGAATGTTTCCCTTCTAAATACATCTATGGAGGCTTTCTTATCACGATTTCTTCGTACTCCTTTTTTATTCATAAATGTCCTTCCTTCCATCAATCGTTTGTCAATTCATTCATCTAACATTTGACGTTCTCATCTATTATTCTTTCTTTCTATCGTTTAATTTTCTCTTTTTCTATGACTTGTAAATATTCCCTCCATTTTTCGTCGTTTAACGCGCGCTATAATTCTTTCCTGTCGTTATCGGCTTTCATTTAAATTGTTTGAACATTCATTCATTCTTTATGATTATATGTTCTTTTTTTTTTCTTTCCTCATATTTTACAATTCTTTCTTTCTTAATCCGTACATTTTGCGAATTTTCATGTTTTCTTCTTTTGTTTTTATATTTTGTTTCCTGTCTGATTTTACTTTTGCCTTTTTGTCATTCTTTCTTTTTTATAGGCACACCTTTTAATTTTTCTTTCTTTCTTTCTTTCTTTCTTTCTTTCTTTCTTTCTTTCTTTCTAATACATTCTCTTCCTTTCGTTTAGTGTCTTTTCCTTTATTCTTTCATTCATTCATTCTGCCTTTTTTCTAATATATTTTCTTCCTTTAGTCTCTTCATTTTTTTTTTTTTTTTTTCCTTTAATGCATTTTTTCTTTTTTTTTTCTTTCTAATCTCGTCTTTTCGTTTACATTCTCTTCATTCTTACTCTGGTGCCTCCTTTCTTTCTTTCTTTCGTTTTAATACATTCTCTTTCTTTCTCTTACAGTCTGATCATGTTTTCTTTCTTTATTCCTGTAATGTTTCTTTCTTTTTAATACATTATCTTCCTTTAGTTAGTTTCTTTTTCTTTCTTTCTAATATATTCTCTTCATTTCGCTTAGAGTCTCCTGATTCTTGCTTTCGTTTCATTTTTCTTTTCCTTTTTCTTTCTTTCTTTCTTTCTTTCTTTCTTTCTTTCTAAAATCATGTCTTCCTTTAGTATACAGTTTCTACACTTGTCTTCGTTTCTTTCTTTCTTTTTCCTTTCCTTTTTCCTTTTTTGTTCCTTTTAATACATTCTCTTCCTTTCTCTTACAGTCTCTTTATGCCTTCCTTCTTTATTTCAGTATTCATTCTTTCTTTCTTTCTAATACATTCTCTTCCTTCCTTTGATAGTCGCTTCATTCTTTCTTCTTTCTTTCTTTCTTTCTTTCTTTCTAATATATTCTCTTCATTTCTTTTTCGGTCTCTTCAATTATTCTTTCTTTCATCCTTTTCTAATCCTTTCTTTTCTCTTATTTTCTTTCCTGATTTCTATTTTGATACATTCTTTTGTTTCGCTTTCTCCCTATCACCATTCAATTTTCTTCCATTTTTTTAATATTTTCATTATTAATTGACTTAGTTTCTTTTCTTTCTCTATATGTTCTTCTTTTAACTTTTCTTCTTTTTACGATTTCTTTCTTTATGTTTCTCTTATTACGCTTTCATTCTCTCTCTCGTTTTCTTCATAAATGTCCTTCAATCATTCTTTCTCCTTATTTTTTTTTTACTCTTTTTATACGTTTTGTGATTTCCATAAACCTTTCCCTCCTTTTTTCCTACATATTTTCTTTGTTATATTTTTCCAATTCACTCATTTTTGTAGGAAATGTATTTATTTGCTTTCGCTCATTATTCATTTATTTAATCTTAATATTCTTCACGTATTTAATTTTTATTTCTTCCCGTATCATTTTCGTTCTCTCCCTGAAGGGTACTTTTTCAACTCTCAAAACTTGGCCGTTTGACGTTTACTCATTTTCAACATGGCAGCCATCGCCTGATGATGAGATGGATCCTCGTTAAAAAAAATAAATAAATATTAACGGCTAAAAAAATCTTGGAAATATGCCATTGCCCTGAACACTTCAACAATTCAAATTCAGATTCATTTTTATTTTGTCAGAAGTCCCATCTAAGGAGAAGGACAATGCCTCAAATTTTCTACCGATATAATCGAACAGCCAAATCTTAAGTATTTGTTCGTATGTAATCCTTTTAAATTAAAATATATGTTCCTTCTTTTTCTGTTTGAAATACAAATTCAAGATATGGAACAAAAATGTGAAGGCCTGATTAAACAAATTGCTATGGTTGCACCTTCCCTAATATTAGAATAACAAAATGTTATTCGACATCTCGATCGGAAAATTTAACTTAATCTAATGGAATAGCAGGTGTGTGTTGCACGTGTGTATTATTATTATTATTATTATTATTATTATTATTATTATTATTATTATTTCCTTTAATTTCTGGTGCGTACTCATTTCTTTCCGGGTCTTGATCAGAGACCTAATGTCAGAAACGGCATCATGACATTTTCCACCGACAATTAAAAAATCCACATATTTTTACAAAGATAAAGCCCTTCATAAGTTGTAGGCCGTACTCGTGCGAACAACCTTTTGCATTTATTTAAATCAGTGGCTACCAGGAATCCCTTCAATGAGTCTATTGGATTCTTTTACAATAAATCCGAGAGCTCCAACTACAACAGGGATTGTTGATGTTCTCATGTGCCACACCATTGAGATTTCGATTACAAGGCCCCTGTAACTTTATAGCTTTGGAAGACCTTCAATAATACATTGCAGACTGCAGGGAAAGCCATATCAATAAAGAATCTTTTTTTTTTGTTTGCGATCTCTAATAACAATGTTTGGGAGATTAGTTTTGAGTGTTCTGTCTGTGTGGATTGTGTCGCCCCATGAAATTATTACAGGTTCCATCTCTGTAACTGGGTCTGGGTAATATTCATACAAGTTTCTTTCAGGTACCTTCCTGTAAAAGTTGCATAATTTCCAGTGCAGATATTGGCCCAATCTTATTTATATTCTGTGGGTGCTAACACCGTGTAATCTGATACAAGATGGTCAATTGTTTCTGGATATTTCTAACATAATCTGCATTTCGGTTTAATAAAAGTTTTCGGTATGTGTGGTTGGTAATTTCTAGTCAGTAAGAATTGGTCCTGTACAGCAAGAATAAAACATTCGATTTCAAATTTTAACACTGTTCTATGTAACCATTTAAGTGTACGGGGTTTGTCTACACCAGCTAGTTTGGTACTGGCAGAATATTGACCCTGAACAGGCTTATCTTGTTATCATTTCTGCATTTGGCTCATTGTGTTTACATTTGTTTTATTTTTAAGTTCTTTTCCGCTGTAGCAGGTGTATTATGGTTTATTTGCCATCTCCACCCATTTGAAATTCATTTTTGAAGTTGTTGGCTTATTTTATTAATGAATAAACTTACCTTTTTTTTTTTCATTCATCTTCTTTAACACAGATCATCATCTCGTCTTCTGTATTTTCGGGGTATATTTGAAGACCGATTATCGTGATTTTTTAAGACGGTTCTCGTTGAACAAATCCTCTACCTCCTTCGAATCTGTACATACAGAAAATCAGTATTAGCCTTAGGATTATGCATGCGGTGGCAAGTGAGAAGCTTTTTTCGTTTCGATATTAATTCGCTTATTGTCAGCTATAGTCCAATTAAGGATGTTGAAACTGTATTGCCTGGCAAGAACTGCCAGAATGCTCATGGGGGATATCCCGTTTTGTGAAATCAAATCTGTATTTGAAACCTGGACTCACACACTTTTATTATTCTTTTCTTGCTTTCTGCATTTGGAAATGCTGTATCCCATCTTTTTTCGTTGACTCCTTGTTATTCAGAGGCTTCTTCATATTCCAGTTCCCTAATCTTTGTGACGCAATCTACATCTATCAAGTAGGATTCTGATAACCTCCCTTTAATTGCTGATTTATCTAATCCGAAATCCATACAGAAGGAGCGGCAAAGAGTCTGCTTGAAAGATTCCTCGTCGGATAATCAATCAAATAGAATTGGCATTACATTTGGTATGATTTAGGTATAATGTAGTTTTTCACAGTTCCACGTTATATTTAAGGAAATTTAATATCGCCGAGATTTTGTAAATTTTCAAATCCTTAAGTATCCAAATTGTGGCACACTTACAAAGGCTTTAAGATAATCTGTCCAAGATCTTCTTAAATTTCTACCTTTTTATCCTGCAATCTTTCCAGTATCATTTATTTTTTATTAGTAGTGATCTTTTCAATCATATGGCCCTCCTAGACATCCATGCTGTTCGAGAGGAAAAATGTTGTTTTCATCTAGAAAAGAGTAAATACATTTCACCAGGACATACGTGATTAGTTTCTGAGCGGTGGACAGACATGTTATCGCTCTATAACATTTTAGATCATCTGTTTTAAATATTTTTAGTAGGAGATACCTTCAGTGATCCACTCTAAAGTTTAATTTGGGGTATTGATTAACTTTGATAAAGACATTAATGGATTGATGAAAAAAAAGATAGTGCCAAAAGTTGGCCACCTTGTCATTTCGTGGGGAAAATATTTGGGGTTTTGTTAGAGCTTTCCTAACATTATTCCTGGTTATATATTTCAATTCTTGTACAGGTTTATCCTTCATTCTTTCTTGTTCTCTTTTGATCCACTCTGCATTGGAATTATACTCTTTTGGTCTGCTTTAAATATTCTCCCAAAAATGTTTGCACTTTTTCAATAAATGGTGGGCTTTGACTTCTTAAACTGTATTTTTCACTGCAAAACTTCTTGAGGTTCATTTGGAATATTTTATTTTTTCGATGGAAACAAAAACGCTACTGTTACTTTCTGTTCAGTAAAAAAATATAAGGTATCATTACTCAGTATTAAGAATATGGATTCTCTATGCACAAATCACGTTGTTAACTGATATTGTTTTTATATTTATTTAAATTGATAACAATTCATTGAGTAAATGAGTAGATACGTACAATACTGTTGGAACTCTTGTAAAGAGAACTGGCAGAAATATTGGTAATATTCTTCACTCTATCTATTTTTAGTTATACACAGGCTCCAATTGCTATACGTATTACAGTCGTTTTTATAAAGCCGCATTTTCCAGTTAGATTTTCACGATTTTTATATTTACTAATTCTACCGTAATTTAATAAAGAGGCTTTATTGGATGACATAGCGTAATCTATGTGATTATAAATATAATTATCATATTTTTCTTCGTAAAAAAATACATCCCTACCCCCTCCGAACCGTAGCAAATAACTGATACATCTAAATATAGATATAATGAACGCGCAGACACTCCTAGTCTAGTAAAAGTGGTTTTATCTGTAACCTTAGAAACATGAATTATGATTTTAGCTGTGTCTTTAAAACCCAGTAATTTTAAAAGTTACTCCAAAATTCGCTTGAGGATGAAATGGAACTAATGTCTTTAATTTAATTACAAAATTAAATTCCGAGCTTTTAGCTTCCATTTTTGAACCATGGTTAGAACTGTGTAGCGGAAAAAATTCATATTTTAAATCAATTAATTTGTAATATTAATGCTCTGTAAATTTACATTGGGCACTATTTTGTAAAAATAAAAATATCTATAAAAACACCAGATTATATATCTTACTGTTTTTCTTTTTTATTTATATATACATATATATATAAATTATAAATTATTCATACATTTATATATATATATATATATATATATATATATATATAAATTGTACATATATATATATATATATATATATATATATATAAATTATAAATCATTCATATATATAAACTATAAATCCATATATATATATATATATATATATATATATATATATATATATATATATATATATATATATATATATATATATATATATATAAATTATAAATTATTCATACATTCATATATATATATATATATATATATATATATATATATATATATATATATGTATGTATGTATAATTTATGAAAAAGACCAAATTTCAAAGACAAATAACAGACAATCAGAAGGATATAGAAACAAGCACAGCATTGTAGGAAAATTTTTACTCTAACAGTTGTGCAAATAATTTCGGTTGTACAATTCATTCAAACTCTATGTATTTTTATCGCCTGAAAATTACTAGTTACAATTGTATTCATTTGTTCATCCTCTATCCGAAGAATAAGTCAAATTAGACGGTTAGTATATGCCGTTGTTTTAAGTAGTAAGCAAAAAGGGCAAGAAATATAGATTATGAGAATATATATGACAGATATCGATGGGCATGAAGAGATTAATATTTTACCGATTGTGGAAACATGTTCTGTTCTGCAAAGCAGCTGCTCTTGGGAAGAAACTGTTTGAATTAAACATTCTCTTTACTAATGAAATACGAAGTGATTGAATATGATTCTCCACTGTGTACATGTAACAACTGATGGAACTAACGTATGTATGTAGTCATAAGTGTTTCTGTCGAAATAGCGGAAGTATTTAGACGTTTCATATGTGAGAAACGTGTGCGATGTTGGACATAATCACCTACAAGGCCAGGTAAACAATTCTTAAATCTGTCAATGTTGGAAAGGGATGATTGGACAGCGTCAACCAAGATTCGGGAATAATATTCCATGTTTTTTTACTGATTTTATTCTTACAAAGATAGAATTTGGCAGGATGAGTTAGGTAATTTTCACCACCATTTTTAGTGAGGAATCTTAGATATGCGTTCCACTGGAAAGACGATCAAAGTCAGGGACTTTTATGAAAGGACAAGCATTCAGCAAGACTGGTCTTTCCTATTGTTTACAAGATATTTTGGCCTTGGTAACACTTCGGCCTTCTTCATGTGACTGTCGATCTACGTTACATTAAGGGAATTCCAATTAAATAATTTATTTAATCTATGAATGTAGATTGTCCTTTTCCTGCTGTCAATCTGTTGGTATATCTTCTCTTTATTGTCTTTGTTTTTAGTA